GTGATATTGAACTAAGTAGGTATGGATACACATGTATGCATCCAGTCAGAATAACTACACAATTGTTCATCTTTCCAATGTGATAAATACGGCTTCGTCCCTTCATCGAATGGTACTTTCACCCGATAGCCAGAGGTCTTACCTGGCTTAGATGGACAGAACGCGTCGGCCAGTTACGCCGTAACAACCATTGGAACTTGGTGCAGCACATTCAGTTGCCTGAGAACATCATAAACGAGAGATTCAGTTGGGTTCCAGGTGAGTCTCTCGAATGAACGAAATTAGTTTGCAGATGAGTGTATATTCGCCAATTTCGTGCAATTTGGTTTCAAGTAGAACATAAGGTTGACGGAAACCCGGGGACTGCGCCTACCTGATGAGCCCCAAGTAGGGCGAAACCGGTCGTGGGCTGTCGATGGATTTTCAGCAACCTTATGAGTNGCTGGCTGGATTCCAGGTGAGTCTCTCGAATGAACCAAATTAGTTTGCAGATGAGTGTGTATTCGCCAACCATTGGAACTGTCCATTAGATAGAGTATGGTTTTTGTTCGAAGGCCAAACAACGAGCGGTCTCAGTATTTGCTGACATTCCGATACTGAGACTTAACCACGAATCGTGAGAGTATGTACAGAGCCTCGATGGACTTCACTTGTAAGGTTTTTGACTGAAGCAAAAGAATACAGCGCATTCGCCCCTCTTAGTCCATCAGGGGACCAAATACCTCACGTCGATGCGTAGACTTTTGACTGAAGCAAAAGAATACAGCGCATTCCCCCCTCTTAGTCTGTCAGGGGACCAAATACCTCACGTCGAATGCGTACACCTGGAGAACTTTGTTTCCACTAGTCAAAAGCTCGTTTGATGCGGGATCTATCAATGCTTCCTAAATCGCCCAAATCTTTAAACATGTTTTCATCAGCTGTTGTTTCAAGGCCACCGCAAGTGAAGCAAACGTCCCCGGAAAATTGAGGACGTCCGAAATGCTAATACGAAACGAGAGCACCGGTTACGTCGGCGGTAACCATTGTATGGTAGAGGAAGTTCAGCACTTATGAACACTTACCCGAATAGGTGTTCGTGGTCACCGTGTTGAAAAGCAGAATAGTATTGATAAGCGTAATCCGCTAGGCATTCTGTTCTGATTTGTATTCATCACGTGGATGCCAAAAACGCACAACTAACCTAGAAAATTACGGGGTCACCGGTCGACGAAGATCGGCCAGATTTCTGAACAATTCGATACATTTTGGCCAGGAACATCTGGGATCCTGGATCTTAACTGGATGTATTCCAGAACCCTCCACCAGACAAGGCTGGCTACCGCCGGAAATAACACGCACGCACCCGACAGGAAATGATGTTACCATGGTTTCCCTCCCTCTCCCACCGTATTCTCAGTTCCGATTTGCTTATTAATTGACTCACGCCCCCTTCAGTTCTCGTGTTCATAAACACTACGCTCACATCTTCCTATGTTCGATCAAACGTCAGTTGATCTTCGAGAAATACACGCATTGGCGAATCAATTTGGTTTTCACGAGAGACTCAACTGAATCTCTCGTTTATGGTTGAGTGTATTTCTCGAAAACAGTGCAATTTGGGTTCAAGTAGATCATAAGGTTGACAGAAACTCGGGGACTGCACCTACCTGATGAGCCCCAAGAAGGGCAAAACCGGTCGTGGGTTGTCGATGGATTTTCAGCAACCTTGTGAGTAGTCACTTGATCTTTTTCGCGTGTTCATTCTGAATGTGTTGATAGCAACCTGCAGAATGGGGTGTCACGAAACTGAATAGGCCCATGCAATCTTTCAGTTGGAATCGAGCAAATGAGGCCAGTCTGTGCAATTTCTTTTTTGTTGGCAATCATCAACAGTGTGCAGTCCACAGCCCGATTCGAACCAGCGAATTTCACATGAGCAACAGAGCCCCCCGTACCAGATGGCCAGTAGTGGATCACTCGTTGATGCCATAAACCATCAGTCAAGCAGTCCAATTCACCTGATTCGATGTTCACCGGTTCTTCAGCTGGTGACTTTCAAATCTTTTCGCTGACCAAATTATCTTTAGTATGCAGAAGGTGAGCATATTTGAAATTTCATTCCCCAAGCGAGGTGGGTCCACGTCGAAAAGCCGAGAAGCATGATCCCAATGATACATTTCTGTTTGAAATCGTCGTCACATTTCTGCCCCGGTTTGGTTAGCGAGAATCAGCGCAATCTCCCGGTTTGAGGCGGCTTGTGACTGATAGTTATGAACGCTATGTTTGCTCCCACGCATTCCCATCAGAACGAACTGTCCAACCCAATTATGACGAGCTTGTTGCGACGGATTTCTCCTCGTATCTCCAAGCCCTCGGGTCACTAGAAATTCGAAACTTCTGATATGTTGAATTCGTCCTTCAAAGCTGAGAGAAATTGAATCGGAAGACCAGTTCTCAAACATACGACAGGCGATGCTCCTGGTGCTGGCATTGGGAAACCTGCACACTGAAAAGAGGGACTAACAAGCGTAGGCAATAATTGATTTCTGATCCAGTTGTGTTCTTGTATAACAGCTCGTTCGTTCAGCTGTAGCACCCTTCTGATGCCTAGCTGCCATGCCACCCGAAAGTTGCACGATGACTGGGACATTGCCAGGTTGCCCAAGCCTAGACAGGCGAAGTCGAGTGGCAGGAGTCGGATTCGAACCACGGACCTTCCGGTCAGTAAATTCGCGCTCTTACCACTTGGACCATCTCGCTCCTTGGAGAACAGCTACATTCGGTCTGACCCGAAAGGGGGGTCTTCCTCGTAGTGATATTTCGCCTTGGATCACAGGCAATCTTCTTACTCGCAAGTAGGAAGCCCCCAAAACCAGAACCCTGGATTGACAAGCAGAACAGACGGATAAGTACAACTTTTAGCTACTATAAGAATGACTCATTCCTACGAGCGGACTCGTCGCTACCGTACAAATACATGGAGCGAGAGGGGGAAATGCGAAATAAGGAGTGAAAGACCGGGAAGGAGGAACACTAAACACAAGACTGAAAATGTAGGAGAGCGGATGGACGGTAATCGATAGCAGTTATTTCCGGCGGGTAAGTCCTGAGGGTAGGATCGAAATGCCACGAGCACCTACACGAGAGAGATAGAGAGATCGCTTTCCTCCTTCACTTTGATTTAGACAACGCCTCGATTTGTTTACAGATCTCCTTGGTGTATTGTGAACAAGTGGCGTTACCACCAAGATCAGCGGTCAAGGCCTGTGGACAAGAGAAAAAAACAAAATAGAATCAAACAACAGAAGGGACAATCGTTTCCCGTTGAGGTCGCATACGAACAGCTGTTTATTGTTCTGTAGGACTCGAAAGTCCACCTCAAGGGGAATCAATGTGATCAAAACCGTACCGTACCGACTAACCTCGTAAGTAGGGTACGATGTAGCCCTACAGCCAAGCTGAATGCGAGTCACTCGGCCATCCGACTCAAAATGACTCATCGGAAACAAATCGATAGACGACACCTAGTCACCTAACACAACTCTTATGAGCCTTGAAAAGCAAACGGATCGGAACGCATGCGTGCAGTGCAACAATCGAGGTCTGGCTGAGGCTAAGGTACCATGCCGCAGAACCCTCAGGCCTGTGAGGTCAGCAACAAAAGTTAACACCAATCTGGATATCATCGGTTCGGCCTAAGAAATCTCAAGTGTGAAGTTCACTTGTGGTGTCCACCAACAGGAACGGCGGTCAAATTCGAGCGCGGTTGATTGTTAGAGTATACTTTTCGAAACGGACAGATGATGCTGAAGCATAAGTAGGGGGGAGGTATTATCAAAATAAACCGAGGAGAATAGGTACCATTTCGGGTGATTGCTATAGAGAAATTTTCGTGGAGAAATCGATTTAGACAAAAATGACGACGCCTGCACTTGGGTGTTAACTGGAAACTCAAGTGAATTGCTCGTATCCCATCAGCACCGAAGTCATTTGCAGATGAGCGCATTACAACATCAGCGTGTAATTTGGTGTTCAAGTAAAACATAAGGTTGAAGGTGGTGGAAGGAGTTTCTGAAACCGTACAAAGAGGTGCGTTAGACCAAGAAAACAGACCAAAAATATACTGTCATGTATGTCATCCGAAGGAAGTACGAGGGCTGAGATACTGCCAAGTTACCCATATCTAAGCAGGAACAGTTGAGCTGCCGGGGTTAGGTCCGAACTACCGACCTTCAGCCCAATGAGTTTGCGCCAGCTCGAATATCGTGTCAACTAAAATATAAAACGGCTTTTGGGTGGTAAATTAACTCGAAGAATATCCAGAAGATTCAACTGGGTATCCCGTTAACACCTACTTAATTGGCGCACGATTGTAGCTCGCCAAGATCGTTAAGCCGTAGCGCCCTTTTGGTGCCCGGCTGCCACACACCCGAAGGTTGTACGAGGGCTGGGATACTGCCAGGTTGCCCAAGCCTAGACAGGGGAAGTCGAGGAGGTGCAGAGACCGGGTTTGAACCACGGACCTTCCGGTCAGTAAATTTGCGCTCTAACCACTTGATCCATCTCGCCAAGATACACAGAATCCTACGGATGTCGAAGTTGACGCTGCCAACATGATCACAGACGACCAAACAGAGGTTGGAAAATCGGTCCAAAACACAGTGTGCGGCCCTAGAACCAGAAGTAGGTTAATATTCGTTTTACTTGGTTTATGGGTTCTAAACTTAAGAAAACTGTGAAGAGTCCTATTTGACTGGTCGCAAAAAGGAGCTAGTTAAGGTTTCAAAACCATCGGAAGTGGAGTTTGTATCGCAGCTATAAGGAGGCTGAAAGTTAGGTGGGCACCACGGCTGGGTTATCACTAAATTTATTGACCATTATTCGTCATCGTACGTCTTCGATCAAGTTAATGGGAACCAGAGACTAGCATTCAGAAAATGATATAAGCACTAGGCTGAACTGATCAATATGATTATGACGGTGACATCACGCAGTAAACTGCCCGACCACCGACTTACCCTGCCTTCGCGGATCGCTGCAAAAGCCGCTTTCTCAATTACGTTGGCGTGTTCGTTCAAACCCATGTAACGTAGCATCATCACAGCGGAAAACAGCAACGCGGTCGGATTGGCCTTATCCAGACCTGCGATGTCTGGAGCGGTACCATGAACCTGTACGGTGAGCGAGGAGATATGACAGAAAATGATGGGAACCAAAGTGGTTAGCGGCTTGTGTAAATTGTCAGCGCACGAATTGGAAAATTTTGCAACTACTCATGAGTAGGCAAAAAGTTGACAGCATTTAAGGCATCCGTGGACATGTGCCACATATCCCAACCACTTTACTTGGAAAAGCTTTTGTTGGCTACTTTAGCTGTTCTTATTCATTGTTAAGTATTCTCCTAGACCCTCCACGCGCTGAGAAGCAGCTGACGGTTCGTCGGTTGAAGACCTCTGAAGTTTTCGGATGATGTAAACTGCCACCTTACGAGTGCCCTTGAGAGACGATCCTCGGCTTCCGTAAAATCGCTGCTGATGCAAAGAATTACACAAGCTCATAAATCTTGAGCACACCCTGTTAAAGGATACCGTGGATCACTCGTAAAACAATCCAGTCAACAGACTGGTACTTCTCAGTCAGAAGTTTCAGACAATTATGGACACTGAAATTTTTGAGGCAAAAATGCAACCTCAGGATGCAAAACACATATCGAAACAAGCGGAAATCACAAACGGATGGCAAAGAAATAAGAGAACAATAACGAGAGAAAGATAACGTAGTCCCATCCCACCAGTCAGATGTGGTTCCCATATCAACAGTCACGACCCGCTTGCGGGGGGGGGTCCTTCCACGTCGATGATAACAGGAGACGGATCGGTTATGGGGGAACAGTCAAGACAAACCCAATTGATTGTGGGAAAGCTTTAGGACAGTTTACTGAAAACTCTTATGCGAACAGACAGCAAAGAAAATTGCTACAAACGGTGCATTCCTTTCTGGTGAAGCACATTTAGAGCCAAACGCTCCTTGGAATTCGACAGAAATGGCATATGTAGCGGTGATCAAGCACCTAGCCCAATCAGAACGGGTGCCCGGTGAATGCCCCACCCAGGCAAAATACTGTCTGATCTGTCTAATCTCACGTGCTGAATTGAGGCGTCACAAAACAATTGAAGTCAGCAGTCATGTTACGGCAGGTTTATGCCTCCATGTATAGTCGTTTCGGATGCCTTTTTTGAATAAAGCTATAAAGATGGATTGACCCAATGTGTTTGGAACCAGTTTTTGTCTCCGAATCCAGCTAAGAAAGAAGATGAAGCTACAACAGCATATCTGAATAGAGCTATTGGTAGTCCAACGAATTTTCAGGCCAGCAGTCCTTCGTAAACACAGGTGCAATCTGAACAGCACGGCGCGAGTTAAGGGGACCCGAGGAGACAAATATACAAAATCCGGTGATCATGTAAACTATTTTCCAAAAATACTATCTGGGTCGCTGAGTAGATTTCCAGTATTATCCCTGATTACCTGGATAGTGAAAAGTATCTTCCGTAGTACTCATATATGAATAGAGCTGTTGGTAGTCCAACGAATTTTCAGGCCAGCAGTCCTTCGTAAACACAGGTGCAATCTGAACAGCACGGCGCGAGTTAAGGGGATCCAAGGAGACAAATATACAAAATCCGGTGATCATGTAAACTATTTTCCAAAAATACTATCTGGGTCGCTGAGTAGATTTCCAGTATTATCCCTGATTACCTGGATAGTGAAAAGTATCTTGGGCCCCGTAGTACTGAATCGATGAAATAAGTTTCGCATAAACCATTCTGCTCTATGAATTTTATGGCTTCCCCATGCCCCCATCCCAGATACACAAACGGGATTTACTTGATCTGGAAGGCCACCCAGAAGATATGTTTCAAAATTGGGAAACAGCATTCCCTCTTTGTAAGAAACCTACCCCCTGAGAAACGCTCTGAAGGGAATAGTTGTGCACTCCATTTTTCTACGTCAATCTGAATTCCGTATACTACTAACAAAACCATCCATCATAGCACTCAAGCATGAGCAACGGCAGCTGGTCATTTCATCTAAGATCTTAAGCTTATCAAAACCGCTAGATTGAACTAAATAAACTGAGATTTACAGGTTGAATACAAGTCAAAACATTTATACCATTTATGAGATAACGGTATGGTGTTTTTACTGATATCACCTCTGCGGAACTGTTTGCCTTTCGTCGATTGTTGAGACGAAAACGTAGAATAACATTAAATCCGTAGAGGCAAGTCTTTTGGAACTAAAGGGGAGAATGAATTCAACGACAACTGGAAAAAATTGGCTGCCAGAAGATGCAATTACAACTTTCCCAGCAGACGCCAACTCAGAAAGACAGGAAATCAGTTCAACTGGAGCAAAGTTCAGATAATCGCCCAGACAAGGAGAAGACGGGGATGGCCACAGCGTTCCACAGAGAAAACGATCAATAGACACATCCACATTGACCCAGTTTGACAGCCACCTACAAATGAAGAAATCCACCCTATGGTTGGATTCCGGACCCGAACAGGAAGACAACCAATGGGCCAATTGCAGCGAAAACTATTGGAAATGGAAGGGTGTTCGGCCAACCAATCAGAGAGTAGAAAACCCAGAACTCAACGCCCCAAAGGAGTACGCTAATCAGGAGAGGGCTAGTGAGCTGCTGAGATAGAAGCACTCAACCAACCAATCAGATGCAACGGGGTTGTGTAGATAATCAAATTATAAACCTACTAATCAGGCTGCTTGCAGGCCATTCCATAACCAACCAATCAGAAGAGATTTACTTAACAAAAATGGAAACAGAAGAGAAATAAATACCCACCGAATCAAGAACTGGAGATATCCCTCCTATGGACGACCAAACGTTTGCAATCTAGCTAACGAGCTCGGTAATCAACGACCGAGCAGTGTTCTCGAATCACCCATATTCCGCAACATCACTAGTAATGAGTCTTGCGCAAAAACAAAAGCGGGATGGAGTGATGGACTTCTGCATGTTCCGCAGTACATAACATGTACTGTGACGTCTGACACTGTTAACGATTTCGATGAGGATAAAGGTTCTCACAGGGGTTCACCGTTTGATTGTTGGGTGGTCTGCGGAAAACCCCCGCAGTTCCCAACAGAAAAACCATCAAATTCACAAAATTGAGGACCCCTTGTTGTAGAAGAAATCGCAATACAAGAGCATTTTGAATGTGGGTTATGGGATATTTTATAAGGAGAACTCACCGACTCGAAAATGGCACCGGATTCACCAATGTTGCCACTGGGAGTGACCCCGAGACCGCCAATTAGGCCTGCAGCCAAGTCGCTGAGGATGTCACCGTAGAGGTTCGGCATGACAAGGACATCAAACTGGGTCGGATCTTGGACCATCTGATGAGATTAACCAAAAAGGATTACTCGTTGTGACCAGATTTAGGCTTAAACTTGACACAAGGGTGAGGTTTGTTTAACCTAGCGCGCTACTCAGAAGGCTAATGGAAACCCTTCGACGGCCCGCTACCGATTTCGACGTCCTTGGGACTCGTGGGTCCCCGAGTTTCCGTCGACCCCATATTCCGCTTGAGCACCGATTGGTAAGTAAGTGACGGAAAGTAATCATTTGCAAAAGAGTTTGGTTTTTACCGGAGACCCAACTGAATGTTTCGTTTATGGTATTCTCCGACATGGCACGCAACTCGTCACGCTGTTGACATCGACTCGTCGACAGCCCGCTATCGATTTCGCCCTTCTTGGGGTTCATTAGACAAGCACCGTAAACGAGAGATTCAGGTGTGTCCCGTCAGCAAAAAAATAATTTTAAAACGAATGTTTCGGTGTGCTTAGGCCTGTTCGACTAAGTGTGGGTTCCGTAGCTTTTAAACCTCACCTTGAGTAACATACAACTAGTTAGCATCAAGCGACGGACGGCCAGATAATAGCCCCGTGGAAGGAAAGCAACTGAAGAAAGAATTCGTGATTTATGGCGTGCCTGTTTGCCTCAACCGCACGAGACACTGATGCATGCAATGAACGTGGCCCGAGAAAGGGTAGTCTAGCACAGGGGAGGCGGCACAACAGAGATCTCGAGGACACAAATTGCAGATGTTCGCTACAGCACAGGTGATGTACAATGTAACCATACTCTCTACTAGTAGCCCAGGTTATCAAAACTGACAGTACCGTTGTACCGAAAATTACAGACGTTAAGTACTGTGAAAACAAACCACCTTACTGGGAGCCTCTGCTGAAATGGTTGTTGGTGTCTTTGTGGAGTGCGAGGACCTGTGCATGACAGCCAGTGTTTGTCTGCACTCCTGATGGTGGATACTACTAATGAGGCATACGAGTAACATGCTTTCCGTAAAACCGCTTCGCGTCTGTTGGAAAGCGGAATTTATTATGGAATTTGTGGAATTGCTGCAACGAGTACTCGCGGGTTGTCTTAACTCAATTAAAGTCGGTTGCAACCACGAGTTACATTCCAGACTATTACCTCGAATTACTGTAGCCAGCTCAATCAGACATCGCGGTAGGGCATCGTAACAACGCCGGCTAGAGTATCGACCTCCCGCACGGAAAGAGGGGTTGATTAGCCAATCCGGAAACAAGATACTGTCTTCTGTTTGGTTATGGAGCATCCGTCTCTTCGTGAAAGGGACGGAGTGGAGTTCTGCACTTCCACGGCTACAACCAGTTTGATGTAACGCGAACGCAAGAAAGCTACACCCAATTGTCGTCAGCCCTGTTCCAATATTCAGAAGAGCATGAAAAACGGTCAAAAGAATGCAGAGCCAGGTAGATAATCGTTTTCAAAACAACCAGTGAGGACGATTTATGCCTCCGCTCACGAACACTTAGAACTGATCTAGAGAACCGAAAATAGGTAAGCTGAAGAAAATGAGAGCAATGGTTGGTTGCATGGTGAAGCCAAACTGATCTGGACTTACATTTAGACAGACTGTGTCAAGGAACATTTCACGGAAGTTGACCTCCTTGTGTTTCGCCGCCTCTTCACGACAAACCCGGAGGAACAGGCCGTCGGACATTTTCCTAGAAGAGACCATAAGTGTGTGGCAGAACACTTAGTTTCAAAATAAAAAGTGTTAGAATGTGAGTCAAACGAATCGCTCTCTCTCTCTCTCACAGTGGTGTTCAGGGCACATGGATCGCCTCTGAATAGGTAGTAAGATTGATGGGAACTGACAGTAGGCTGTCGAGGAGTTTTAGTCCATGATTACACCAGTCAAACGGTTGGCTGGAGAAACCTTTTTCGGCAACGGCAGCTAAACAAGCCGGGAGAACCTCAGGGTAAGATGCGCGTCATGGAATATGCTAAAGTGTGCAAAATATGTTCCGTAAATTAAAAACGGTTTAGTAGAGGTATGTAGGCAGTCGCGAAAAAATCTGTGTCGTTTAACAGACGGGGCCGAAGCAGTTGAGTCACCTTTTGGACATATATACACTTTCTTCCATTGGAACCGAACTTGATGGTGACTATTCCAAAGGTTTATCGAATGCTCTGCTTGATTTGTCCCAATCGATATAATCGCTTCACTTTTTATCATGTTCTCATAAGAATCGAGTTTAAACATATAGAACACGTCATTTTCCATTGTCTCTCGTGTGTTGATGCGCTTTCTCGCGGTAACTTTAGCCCGGATGACCCACGACGGGCCAAAGGACACTCGCCTGCAAATGCAGTCAAAGATGTGCGTCCGTTCGGATCCTTTATCACCCAATATGAATCCGGGACATTGGTACCTAGCTGTCAGGCGGAACTCCACACGGATCCCTCTTGACCGCTCGCACTCAGGTGCTCTACGGCCGAATCCCATGCAAGATTGGCTGAAAATTCGGGACGCTTGCCGGTCCGGCATAAAGCCGAAGTTTGATTGGTCGAAAGTCTGGACGCAAGAGCCAATCATGACCTAGTATTGGCCGAATGCCGGTTGCCAATGGCGCATCCAGAACGCGCCAGAATTTCAAGAAAGTTATTGCCGCCTGCGCTATATATATGTAGCGCTGTACAAGTGTTCCTGACTCCGTTTTGGGCGTTAATATATTTTGTACACCTTTGGTGGTTGTTTTTACGTGAACGCTAGCTTCGGAGGCTCAGACTGAGAACTAAGCTGAGCAAAATACCGTTACTACACTGGCACCACAGGTATCTGTTGAGAAGCAATTCGAGAAAATATGGCGAATGGGCAAGGAAACAACGACGAAGTTTCGCGGCTGTAAGGATGCTTTAACAGTCCATAAACAGCATAAGCGTGTTGATATTCACTGTTGAAGGAATCGGTTGACAAACGATGCACCGTTAATCGAGCTGACCTCCAGTACTCTTAAAGTATCCTTCCGATTGATTTTACTGGGGATTTCAAGTACCTTTAAAGTGGAGACTGTCCCGTCTTTAGGAAAACATAGCACAGTACCCATGGAAACCCCAGAAAGGCAGATGGAACTTCCGCCGCATATTCGACTTGATATTTGCAATCAACTTGAGAGATGGCTACAGATGAGTACCAAAACTTAGTGTCACCTAGACTGTCTCAGCCATATGAGACTCCACATTCGTCTGTTCGGGCTTCAGGGGATCCTCATGACTGCTTGAATTTATGGAAACGAACTAGGCGGTGACTCAGTCCGTGCTAGGCGGAATCCCGGTTTACCGCTCGTAGTTAGGCGCCGCCGAAGAGCATATCCCACACAAGATTGACCAAAAGTTCGGGACGCTTGTCGGTCCGGCATCAAGCCGGGATATGGGCTCAGACTGAGAACTAAGCTGAGCAAAATACCGTTACTACACTGGCACCACAGGTATCTGTTGAGAAGCAATTCGAGAAAATATGGCGAATGGGCAAGGAAACAACGACGAAGTTTCGCGGCTGTAAGGATGCTTTAACAGTCCATAAACAGCATAAGCGTGTTGATATTCACTGTTGAAGGAATCGGTTGACAAACGATGCACCGTTAATCGAGCTGACCTCCAGTACTCTTAAAGTATCCTTCCGATTGATTTTACTGGGGATTTCAAGTACCTTTAAAGTGGAGACTGTCCCGTCTTTAGGAAAACATAGCACAGTACCCATGGAAACCCCAGAAAGGCAGATGGAACTTCCGCCGCATATTCGACTTGATATTTGCAATCAACTTGAGAGATGGCTACAGATGAGTACCAAAACTTAGTGTCACCTAGACTGTCTCAGCCACATGAGACTCCACATTCGTCTGTTCGGGCTTCAGGGGATCCTCATGACTGCTTGAATTTATGGAAACGAACTAGGCGGTGACTCAGTCCGCGCTAGGTGGAATCCCGGTTTACCGCTCGTAGTTAGGCGCCGCCGAAGAGCATATCCCACACAAGATTGACCAAAAGTTCGGGACGCTTGTCGGTCCGGCATCAAGCCGGGATATGATTGGTCGAAAGCATGGACCAACAGCCAATCATAACCCAGTATTGGCCGAATGCCAACCGAGAACTAAACTAAGGGAAACACCGTTATTACAGTCCGTGAAACACTTGGATTGCAAGGTGGTTGCCTTGAAGTGCCCCATCCGCCCATAAGGGCGTCAGTGAGCGTTCGAGATAGGCCATTTACCAAGTCCAAATCTGAAGAAGACTGACTTACTGATTGGTTCCCCGTCTGCCTTATAACCTGGCCAATTTAGTGACCTCCTCACATGGCCTGATGAAGCTTTTGTGTCAAAGGCGAAACGTTGCCCAAACAAAAACTACCGACTGTTTATCAAGCTCTTCTGACACGAAGTCCAAATATCATTTCGCCGACAGATCTAGAGTTTACCAAGGCGAAGGAATTGGTACTCATCTCCTGTCACCCAAGCTAGTCCGGCATCTGAATTCAAGACTACTTTTATTCCAGCCATTACCGGAGCTGAAGCTGTTGAAATTCCGGAACGGTTGATTCCATTGCATCGTTCGATGGATGGGGAGGGCCGGTGGGCGAACAGCGAATATACCTCCTGGTTGCCTAAGCCGAACAAGAATGTCTGGTTGGGGTACCAAAGGTAACTTAAATTGAAAATCCTAAAGCCACATCCAGTCACGATCCAAATGAAACTTGACGAGCAATTCATGCCCACTGTTAAAGAAAATCCAGTGACAGCTTCATGAAATATCACATCACCGAAGCGATGGATATCGGTCACGTGATAAGCCCAAGAGAAAGGTGATGTTCCCCTTATTCCGAAGGTCTTCGCTTAACATTGGCTTTTTGCGGGGAACCCTGTGACCAGGCCAGAACCAAGTACGTCCTGATAGTTCAGCCACCGTTTGTTCGCGGCTGCTTATTCACCACAAGTGACCTGTTCACAGCTAGACCTTTGATTTTGCGAGGTCGGTGGGTGCCCTCACGCTCGGGAGCAAACAGCTCCGCCCAGTCCCGAGTACCCTAGGCGCCATGGGAGAGATGGCTCAAGTGATAAGAGCGCGCAGCTATTGACGGAAGGTCTGTTGTCCGAACCCGACCTCTGCCTGCCCACTTCCCCTGTCTAGGCTTTGGCAAACCGGCAGTACCGCAGCGCTCGTGTTTCCTTCTGGTGGCATGGCAGCTAGGCACCGAAAGGGTGCTACAGTCGAACGAGTTTTTTTTAGGCGTCATGGTATTGGCCTTTGATGAACATACTGATAGTTAAACTTTCGGGTATGACATGGAGGTACCCAAACTACTCACAGCCTTTGCGAAGCCAGGCTCACCTGTGGCTCCCTCGGCCTCACCAGTACGGTGTAGAATCGAATAAATCAACCACCGGACCTCGGTAATCTTTTGCTGAGCTTTAGCAGTTCCTTTTTTCCAGCACCCTAGTAATGTGTATTTGACAAACCACCGAAGTCGTCTAGTCAAGAGGGATTACAACGCGACAGACACCATCGCACGTTGGTGTGTGACCACAACGCGGCTTCCGTCCTACTATTGCCTGATCGGATCGCACGTTGCTATCCGGAAAGCCACGGCAACAATCGCCACTGCATAGGCCCCAACCAGTAGCAGTAAGTTTCGGGAATAAGATGTACCCTGCATTCGGTCCGTTCACGAGAGGGTGCTTATGGTCCTATGTGCAGGATAGATACAAGCGTAACAAGTAGGGGGAACCGATAAGCTTGAGAAAAACGCAAATTGTTTCAAAATTGGTTACAGGGGGCAATAGCTATTTACCGCATGCGTACACTGACTCACATGATGTTCGCCTTGTGTACTGCTGTGACTGTATGCCGTCCGTTCTGCTTCGCGTAGTGGAAAGCGAAGCTGGCCACACGTCGACTGGCCTGTTCGGTGATCAACTTGATGCTTTGTACAACGCCGTCGACAACCTAGATAGAGGGAAGAGCAGAAAATCCTGAGGTGAATTAGCAGGCCTCTTGTTCAACTACGCTTCTGTTATGGTTGTCAAACCAAGACTATAGCTATGAACGCTAGGTGGGCGCGGGAGAAGCCAACGGGAGAAAATGGATAGCTGTGAGCGGGCCAACCCGTCCTATTACTTAAGCGTGAACATGCTAATCTGTTAAGACGTTATAATTCGGCTGTGTGCGTGTGTTGGATGTCATATGTCTGGAGTTCGAACCCCGGCAAGGTCAAGGGTGTGAACTGCTGATGGGCACCAATAAGAGCTCCACTGATGTGGACTCATCAAAACAACAACTCCAAAATTTTTACATAGGTTCAAAAGAAAATGATGTGAACTTGAAAATAGATGGTATCCATATCCCAACCTGATCTGTGGTGAATACTACGAGTACACGAAAGACTTGAACGAGCATTAATGCCCACCAGATGTTCCAGTTCTTGACGGTTGCCTTGAGGTGTTCGACAATCGTTGTCTCAGGACCATAGCTCGTGTAGTTTGATGTCGGAGAATCCGTAACTAGGCAATTAGAAAGCGAGTTTTCGGTGGTGCAACGGTGACTTTATCAAAAGAATATGTCCAGCTTCAGAAGATGCGTTGATCGGGACATGAGTTGCGTATCCCTAACCATAGTTTGCCGAAGAGAGTACTGTTTTCCATGCCCAATTCAGAGTGGCGTAAGCAGAGAGATGGCTAACCCTTGTCCTGGAAGAGGGGTGCAAAAGAAATCACGAAACATTTGGGTGCTGTCGGTGCTACTCGCCTTCCAGGATCGGGACCGCGTGATCCTCACTGTGCCTGGTTGGAGACACTACAATATATGGCGGCCAACCGATGTCAGTGGCGTTCTTGTTGTCAGTTTCTATCCAGATTGCCTGAGTGAATGTGCGGAGTTGTAGGCACCTCGGAATGATTGTGTTAAGCTAGCACTAAGTCTCTTCCCCGTCCACCTTTACTCTTTTCTTTACAATAAGGCTTTCAAATAAATCATGGTTGTACGGCAGTGAAGCATCGGTGTTGAACACTGATGTCATGTTGGCGATGATGATTACGCAGGTGCTTTGGCTAAAGTAGAAGTCGGAACGAGCATCACACTGACAGTGAGCATTCCCAGTAGACTAGTCCAAGTATAAATCGGTAAGTTGTACAACTAGGTAGATAAGGCTACGACTAATTTCTGTCAGCTATACCTCTTCAACTTGCTTCCTCGTCCCAAGAAACATCACCTACTAAGAAAGCCTTCCGTTCCTCCAGCCTTCAGGCCAACTAGTTCTTGATCAACAGACCGTCTACTTTTCCATTTTCAATGCAAAATCCCCGAAACCACAAAAATAATGATTCGGCCGGTTCAACGGACCCCTTCTATTAACCAGATTTCGTCGACCATGCTCTAGAGCAAAGCTTACTTTTTAGTGATGCCCACGAATGCTGTGGCCACCATCCAGAATCGAAGCTCAAACCAACTATTTGTAATGCACTACTCATAAAGTTGCATACCAATTTGGTTTTGCGAGAGACCCACATGAAACCCTGCTGAATCTCTCGTTTACGATGCTTCCAACCTGGTGTTTCTTACCTGATGAGCCCCAAAAAGGGCGAAACCGGTCGTGGGTTGTCGACGAATTTTCAGTAACCTTATGAGTAGTGCACTACGAATATACATGTATTGCGATATCTCGAATATCGTACTGACTGAAACATGAGGCGGCCTGCTGTAGCACATTCGGTTGCCTGGAAACATCACAAACGAGAGATCCAGCTGGGTTCCAGGTGAGTCTCTCGAAAAACCAAATTAGTTTGCAAACGAGTGTATATTCTCAAACCAACTATTCACCCAAGTGCTTCAGAAAACTCTGGTTGTTTTGGAAACAATCAAAACACCCAGTAACTAGGAAAATGAGTTGAAAATGGCGCCAATCTCCAGTCAGTTCATAAATGCTTTTCCGTAAGGCATACGACCCACTTACCACATGCTCAATCCCGGAATACTCGCCTTCTGTGTTCTCACGGATTGTCACCAGATCGACGTTATCGTACGCAGTTTTGTAGCCCTCGATTGATTTGCACGGCCGGACGTTTGCGTACAAGCTGAACTCTCTGTAGTTGAAAAAAGTAAGTAAGACCACCATTTGCAAGGCACCCAGACAAAATCATCATCAAAGACAGCACACCAGTGCTGGCACTGATGCTTCACTGGCGTACAACAATAAGGTTCGCTTGGGCAACCTGGCAGTATCCTAGCCCCCGTGCTTCCTTCGGGTGGCATGGCAGTTAGGCACCGGAAGGGTGCTACAGCTGAACGCATTCCACCTTGCGGTTTGCGCCATCCTGAAGGAGGCACGGAGAACAACACTCGTCTCGGTAGACGGTGTTTCGGCATGCGTAGCACATGACCGAGCCATCGCAGTCGATGATGCTGGATGTTTTCCCGGATTGAGTTGCCTGCAGCACAACCAAATACCCGTTTCTAATCACTTACTTACTAACACTCTGAGCCCAGACAAAAACAATCACCTCAAGGGAACCGCTTTCCCACTGATGGATGGATAATAAACCTCACTCACAAACAACCAAATACCCGTTTCTAATCACCTCATTACTAACACTCTGAGCCCAGACAAAAACAATCACCTCAAGGGAACCGCTTTCCCACTGATGGATGGATAATAAACCTCACCTCCTCACAAACACCGCCTTCAGAAAAAACTGCGGTTTTTTCCTAGCGAAGCCATACGTCAGGTTCCAATGACTCAGTTCCATGCGCATCAACATCTTCTCATGTTTCCAGAGCATTTATTATGTGTACGTCTGGTGACAGCTCGAGATAGCCTGGCGATTAAGGTGTGAAACTACGGATGGGAAGTTCTATGGTTCGGACCTAACCTTCGCATTTCGATCGCCCCTTTCTAGATCTTGAAAACCTTCCGTACTGTCTTCGAACTGCACGACAGCCATGCGCCAAAAGGTTGTCCCGGTGTTGGGGATATCAATATCCCCCCCCAAAAAACTCCGTATCTTTATGTGTGTGTTAACGAACTTCCGGCATTTTTCAAGGTCAAACTATGAATATACATATATGCATTGCCATTTTTCCGGGATTCGCCTGTTGATCGCGTGTTGTTTAGATAATTAAAGTCGTGTCCGAGGTTTTTCGTCTTCTTACTATTCGCCGTGCTAGGAGTCTGGATCAAGTAACATAGCTGGGGATGGAATATTGTCACAGTCCGCATATCTTATTCTGTGCTCGCCGTGTGGTCGAACCGTAACACACAGCTGGACAACTATTGTTTCTATACGTTTCACGGGGATAGATTTTCAAGTTTGAAACCGGGCCATTTTGCCAACTGCACGATCGGATGTCTGAAAGGGACGGGTTGTCGTTCTGGTTCGCCTTTTCAGAAGGACTTTATTGCCCAGGGGGAGATTACGCCACCTTACCGAGCGCGAATTAGTTTCTCATCAGAGTTAGACGAATACGCATTTAAATAGCTTAGAGAAAAAATAAGTCCTATCTGAAAAGTTGGCACTCCAGCAGACAGTCAACATGTGACTGAGAGAAGAAAGAGCGTTCAGCTGAAGCAACCTCTCGGTGCCTAGCTGTTATGCCACCAGAAGGGGCCACGAGGGCTGGGATACTGCCAGGTTGCCCAAGCCTAGACAGGGGAAGTCGAGGAGGTGCAGAGGTCGGGTTCGAACCACAGACCTTCCGGTCAGTAAATTCGCGCTCTAACCAATTGGACCATCTCGCCCCCCGACATGTGACTACGCGATGTGGATTCAGTGATTGAAGGATGTGTGGCGCTGTATCCTGTTTAAATGCGAGTTGACCACAGTGCTGATCAGACGCCCGTGGCCGAACGGTTAAGTGTTCCAACTACTGGCCGAGAGGTCGAGACTCTCCGGAGTCTCGTGAGATGAGCACTGCTAATGAGGATGAAACAGCTGTACATTGCTTCCGGACTTTTAGCAAAGATTAACACCACCTACGGGAGGAGAACTCGACTGAAAATCCCAAAATCTCCTCACACGATCATCAAATACACGGATACAAGCATATGCCTAAGTCATCACTGTCACGTGCCTTGTAAGACCATGTAGCTGGATTTGGTTTAATAAGGTTAGAAGGACATGAGAGCGTGCGGTAAGAAAGGTAAGGTAATCGAAAGTATAGGGACGTGACAGAGATAACAAGCAGTCGCATATCAACTGCCTTCTCAGTTCCGACCCCCCTCCCTACGTAACCAGTCATAGTAACCTTGATAACCGTAGATGTCGGCCATGACTGTCCATGCAGAAACCTCAAAAGCGACCTGACACCGGCTGCTTTGACAGTGACTGCTGTTCAAGTCGTGGCCAGCTGTGATAGCGCGAGGCCGAGCACTCTGAAAATAATGTTGTATTGGGTTTGCTACAAGTGAGGACCTTTCAGGAGATAGTGTGACTAGGAAGACGAATTCGAGTCTGCACAATTAGTCGGCGTTTGGTGCAACATATATCCTATCCAGGAAGGACTGCGTCATCGCTGATCGAAAACAACTTTGGAACGAAAACCGTTTGATGCATGCAACGGAAATTTCACGGCTTTTCTTCCAGGTTTTTATTAATACTACTAACAGAAACTAATAAACAGGCCCCACCGTCAAGTCTTGACACTGGTTCGCAAAATACACAACCCCAATGACCGATTTCGACCATTCACCGGGGATGATGTTCACAAAAGCGTTCAGCTGTAGCACCCTTCCGGTGGCTAGCTGCCATGCCACCCGAAGAAAGCACGAGGGCTGGGATACTGCCAGGTCGCTCAAGCCTAGACAGGGGAAGTCGAGTGGCGGAGGTCGGATTCGAACCACGGACCTTCCGGTCAGTAAATTCGCGCTCTAACCCATTTAGGCCATCTCGGCCCCATGTTCACAAAAAGGAGTGCCTGCAATGATATAATGTAGTGCCCGTCGACGCAAAAGAAGTAGACGTGTCATTGAATGTGGATCAGTGGTAGTCCAGGTTATACAGGCGCTTGTTCTTTCGTTTGGTGAGCTGCGCTTTTCAATTGGAAACCTAGATTTTCTAGTGAATACACCTCAAGAAACCTCAATGTACAAACTCTCCTGGTCACATGGTGAAAACAGGGTTGCAAACTCAGTCCAGAGAAACCCTTCATTGAATCGTGGAGGCGGTGGGTTGAAATTCAGAACCTACAATGGGTATGGACAGTACAAATTGGGGTTATTGTACTGTCGGCGGATACAAGTTATTTGATAGCTCCGTCCAGGAGAGGATCCCTTCTAGACAGGTCGCTTCTCTGATGCATCCGTTCTTTTCGGAGCAAAAACGTCCGTCAGTCTCTAAACTGGTGCCTCTCCTAATAAGGGTAGTCTATTGTTAGGTGGAATCCTACGCCAAAGGCAAACTAACGCTTGCAACGGGCCTAGCTAACACGTGATTGGTTAGAAAACCGGGTCAATTGCCGATTAAGCATCTAGGCGAGCTCTGATTGGTCGAAGATGTGGATCCAGCAGCCAATCGCTTTTCGGCATCCGCTGAATGCCGGTTGTGACTGGTGCATCCAGAAGGCATCCACACTCTAAGAACGTTGTCGCTACACATCTTAAATACGTACATGGTTTTGACCTCTTTAAGGGCGCTTAATAAACTTTACAAACCATTGAGGTTCTTTTGTTGCTGGGAAGATCGTACCGGGAACCGAGCTGGGGCATTAACGTTATTACACTTAATCCTGGTTGCAATTAATCAAGTTTTTCCTAGGAGAATGCCTAGGATTCCATGTATACGGTGCAATCCCCATCCAATCTTTTGCAAGAACCCCAGAAAACAAATACCAAACCGCACTTGTATGGCTGCGCTGATTGCTGGGTGGGGTCATCATCATTAAAGACAGCAAACAATGGAATACACATTCAGTCAGGTCCTGTGTAAACGATTCTGTGTGTGTGCTGGGTTGTCACAGCTTTCAGCACGGCGAGAAAATCGTCAAAAACGATCAAGATCATTCTCTGTCTGAGTACTCACTAGAATCGACTATCTCCCTACTCACCCACTGATTCAAACCAGCCATTCGAAATGGTAAGCGAATGTATTGGCCTTCTGTGTCCCGCTGGACTAGTTCGGCACGAATGAATCAGGATACCTACTACTTACGGTCACAAATAGTCGCCAGGTTGTCGTAATCAAGGGATCACAATCACATGCTGTGTGGAAAATAATAATAAAGAAATTAAATAAATCGTTCAGCTGTAACACCCTTTCGGCGCCTAGCTGCCATGCAACCCGAAGGAGGCACGAGGGCTGAGATACTGCCAGGTTGCCCAAGCCTAGACAGGGGAAGTCGAGAGGCAGAGGTCGGGCTCGAACCACGGACCTTCCGGTTGGTAAATTCACGCTCTACCCACTTGAGCCATCTCGCTGTGTGGAACGGTGCACCTGCGTTGTTCGGGGGGTTTCTTGAGCCAGCTAGACGATGCAAGTGAAACAAGGTCGATTCCACGTACAAGCTCAGCGCACAAAGCATACGAAAGCGGTTATTTTACAGGACGAATGATGGCTAACGTGACTGTAGAAGTAAGGCCATAAAAATCATTAAAAAAAGGCTAATATTTCGGGCCTGGATAGTAAAACGTACTTTCTCAGAGCGAGATTCAGCGACTGATGGCCTTTTCCTATCGGTGTGGCTAACGGACCCTTCAAACCGATACCATGTTTACGGATGGTGTCCAGTGAAGCCTGGGGCATGCGGAATCGACCATCTGGGCAGGGCTGTGGGGTCACATCCACGGGATCCCATTCAATGGGAACCTGTCGTGATGGGAAGTGGGGAGGAAGCGGTCACAATCAAAATACCATGATGACAAATGGTGTACATCTCAGGTAGCGAACTTCACAGTGTTAATTACCGGAGGGAATCGATTACGAACTGCAACTGACCATGCTCGTCAATGGGATATATAACACGGAACCATGAATGCCCATTACTACTTTATTATTATTACTTGTTTTCAATGGAGTGGCTATAATCAGCGAGACCATTCCCCTTTCCCCTCCAACAAAATATGACATGGTGACCGAGCTGAAGTAGAAAGAAGAACTCGTCCAGTTGTAGCACCTTTCCGGTGCCTAACTGCCACGCCACCCGAAGGTTGCATGAGGGCAAGGATACTGCCAGGTTGCCCAAGCCTAGACGGGGGAAGTCGAGAGGCAGAGGTCGGGTTCGAGCCATGGACCTTTCGGTCAGTAAATTCGCGCTCTAACCACTTGGGCCACCTCACCCCGAAGTAGAAAGAACTCTGGAAGAGAAGCACAAGATTCCATCTGAATAAATGATCATCTGTCGGAAAAAATGCGTTTCCACCGGCTAATCTGTGATGGTTTCTCAGAGACGTCACTTTCCATCGATACCAAAAGATTTTCAGGGTGGGTTTGGAAACTGCTTTACTACTTATTTAATGAATTGTCTAGATGTTCCTACTATGAGTTGCTGCAAGCAACGTCCGAATGGTCAGCGACGATGTGGATTCCGAACTGGCAGAAACGAGACCTGATGCCAAACGAAATGGACCACGCACATTCTAGACAGACTGATGTAACGGCGATACTACTGATGGGAGGCATGCGAGTAGTGTTTTGTTCTTGTAAATTCGCTTTGCGTCTCTTGAAAAGGGAGATCTGTTGCGGAATTTGTGGAGTCGCTTTGTAACATTTGCTTGGATTTGATCAATGAATGATTGGAGTCAATGAATATCCAGGAAAGTTCAAGAAGACACGTTCAGGAGAAGATGGATGTCCAGTTTTTGTAAATAAGATGCAAATGAGAGTTTTGCTTCCCTATTCAATAGTCTGCAACTGGTCAGTTGACATTTTCTGACAAATTGCTCCGCAGCGAAGGCCTTCTTCCTTCCACTGATAGGCCAGGACAGGCAACTATCCAACTGCCCTAAGACATAGGATGAGCAGAGCTTCAAATGAGCTTCAGACGATACAAAGCTTCAGTGATAAGGACTAGAAAGGCTCTATGTGAAAGACCATCGATTGTTTGTTTTTCTTCCTGGCAGAGAAAAGTAGCGAAGTTTTCCAGGTTCAGTTCAGTGTGTTTCGGATCACTGAAATCGTTCAGCTGTAGCACCCTTTCGGTGCCGAGCTGCCATGCTACCAGAAGGGAGCACGAGGGCTTGGATACTGCCAGATTGCCAAAGCGTAGACAAAGGAAGTCGAGAAGCACAGGTTGGATTCGAAACACGAACTTTCCGGTCTAATCACTGAGCAATCTCGCCGCCTTCGAATCGGATCACTGAATCATATGACAGTAGACAGAGTAGGATGGACGGTGGGGGGGAATGAACCGATGAGAAAAATGACAAACTACTGACTGGAAACAAGTGAGTAGATATAACGTCGCTGGGTGTGTCACCATGTCAGTATGGAACACTGTGCACCCTACTCTTCGCCGACACGCTGCCACTACAAACCCGAGCGTACATGTATTAGAGGAGAGCGGGGCCATTTTTGGCGATTCTGGCATTCGCTTGGTCGGAGCGCCACCATCCAAACTGATGCAATAAACTTATTGACCTCGTCTAGCTGGTCGGGTGCCAGGACCGAATTCAGAGCGGTCTTATGAATTATCGCTAAGTTTGGTGTGTTCCTCACGGGATTTACCGGGACTCATAACGGCAAGCGGCTCATCGCTTTATCCATTCAACAATCTCCGGTCTTTGTAATGTACTACTCATAAGGTTGCTGAAAATCCATCGACAGCCCACGACCGGTTTCGCCCCTTTTTGGGGGCTCATCAAGTAGGCGCAGTCCCCGGGTTTCCGTCAAACTTACGTTCTACTTGAAACCAAATTGCACGAAATTAGCGAACGAATATACACTCATTTGCAAACTAATTTGGTTTTTCGAGAGACTCATCTGAAACCCAGCTGAATCTCCCGTGGGCTATCGACGGATTTTCAGCAATCTTATTAGTAGTACATTAAAGATATACATGTATCGCGATATCTCGAATATCGTAGCGACTGAAACATGAGGCGGCCTGGTGTAGCACATTCAGTTGCCTGAAAACATCACAAACGAGAGATTCAGCTGGGTTCCAGGTGAGTCTCTCGAAAAACCAAATTAGTTTGCAAATGAGTGTATATTCGCTAACCTCCGATCTCTTTCCACCATCAAGACACGGTCTTACTCTACCTCCGCAACCATGGTGACCAGCCAGCGGAGGTCATTTGCTCTGTCCTACTCTCCCCACTTCTAATCAACCTTCCAGTTAGCCGTTAACCCGATTTCATCCCGGATGCCGATCGGGGTTCTTCTATTCTTCATTCCTCCTCACAATCAAAGGACTTTGAAACCTGATTCTTCAGGTTCACAAAACGTTCTGTGAAATTCAACTCGGGTCAGAGCCTTCATCCGACCCAACAACCTTTACAACCTTAGGCGGGTCTGTAAGTTCTATATTTGGTTAGGTCCTGGATGTCCCCGTGGGCTTATTGTGTGCTCAAGTGTCACGATGTAACAAACGGTTCACAGTCTGTTCCTCTTACTACTATCTACGTCGACGTTTAAGTAAAAACGACATATCGAGTAGAGTGTCCACTCGAATTGATCCACTTTATGTGTCACTTTTGCAACACTTCCAAATGCGTCCCAATTCAGTGTCTCCATTCGAGCGATCGATTGCTAGGTGAATCACGCGAAGAAAATGTGTGCGAATGTCCAAGAACATGTGGCGCCTCCACGGCGCATCACGGCTAACTACGTCGGAAAACCAAGTTGAGATAAGAGTGGGTAAAATGCATTAAACTCCTCTTCAAACTATCCCGGAGTTTGTTCAAAAATTGTACAGAACTGCGGAACTCAGTGCACTAGAGGTCCTTCTCTTTCACGCAACCTCCGCCGATGACCCAGTGGTATCCAGATAATTTCGCCGCAAACTGAATGCAAGAGGCTCATTAGTGGAGGCGAAAAAGCTAAGCTGTTGGTTCATTGGGTAATTGTGGGGTTGGTAGGTAGTTCCTGTGGTAGCTCAACTCGCAAAACCCGCTGTGGATAATAAACATGAAAAATAGTCGTCCAGCTGTACCACTCTTTCGGTGCCCCAATGGGAGCTAAGATACTGCCGGGTTGCCCAAGCCTAAACAGGAGCCGTCGAGATGTCACGGTTGGGTTCGACCCTCGAAGCGTTCGGTGATTAATTTCGCGCCGAGCCATCTCGAGCTCCCCGTGGGCGTCTAGATGATACGAACGTCTGACTCCAAAACAGAAATCGCGCGGAGTCTTAGTGGTGCTAACACTTTCAGCTGTTCAGCCGTTAGGTGGATGCGTCATGAATTGCATAAAACGTTTGTGTAGCTACGTATACCGTAGAGTGGTACCTGCTGTGGCACTTATCTGACAATCGACAGGTTCGATGATCGACTCCCGTCTCCGGTGTTTCTCAACTTGTTTGCATCATTCACACCTGGAATTTTTTCTTCAATTTTGAACCAAAAGAAAATATACTCCGAACAATGTCTATAAAAATCGACAACAACAAAAACAAAAAGTGTGCCTCATGAAGAAAACTAAAGCCTAGGGAAGGTCAAAGAAACCTCCATTTAAACCAGGACACCATAAATAAACTTACATCGGCAAATTTAAAAATCTCTTGCACAGCAGCGGAGATTTCAGGCCCAATACCATCTCCCGGAATCAGAGCGACTGTTCGGGGGGCAGTTGTTGAGTGCTTCCTGCATTTTGCTTCGATTAGAGCAGAAAAGAAACCAACCTTCCAATGGACCGAAAATAGTTGAAAGAGGATTTGAGAAACCGCATGTTCCGATCAGCTGTGAAAAACGAGCTGCCGGTCGATGTTAATGGTTACTCAGAGAGGTCAGCGGGCTGACCGAAAATGTGCTGCAACAACAAAGGAGAGGTGTGAAACAGGGCAAGCAATGCAGCTGATGAATACTTTAACAAGCTTAACTCGTTAGATTACATGAAGGCAAGCGGGAGAGTTCTGTGCAAAATTCTGGAACGCTATTGACCAGACATGGCTGTTCAGAGACAGCAAGGGGTTGCTTCGAGGGGGAATGTGAGAGAGAAGATCGTTCAGCTGTAGCACCCTTTCGGTGCCTAGCTGCCATGCCAACTGAAGGAGGCACGAGGGCTGGGGTACTGCCAGGTTGCCCAAGTCTAGGCAGGGGATGTCGAGAGGCAGAGATAAGCTTCGAACCACGGACCTTCCGGTCAGTAAATTCGCGCTCTAACCACTAAGCCATCTCGCCCCCAGGGAAATGTGAGAAACTGCAGTGTGCTGATGTATGGTAAACGGACAATACAAAAAGTGGGGTAATGCTGGATTTTTTTCCAGGGGAAGGGATTTGAAAACCTCACAAGTGAATGAAAAAATGAAACAGTACAAAAACCATGACTGGCCTCTGGTGGCTCCCAGTGGGAGTGCTTGACAGTTGACTGATTTTGCGATCGACGAAATCCTTTTTCGACTTATGGAAAGCAGCTCTGAAGAAATTGCGTGCAGAAACTCAAGCTTAACGGGTCAGCGTGGGCTGCCTAGCTGCCATGCCACCCGAAGGAAGCACGAGGGCTGGGATACTGTCAGGTTGCCCAAGCCTAGACAGGGTGGGGGGCTTAGTCATCTGACGTTGGCGCGTAATTTTTTCGGGCATGATGAGATAGGTAGGGATAAACCACTTGGAGGCAGACTCGAATTCGGAGAGGTGAGGGATGACAATGAAGCACACTACCAAGATGTACTGCCAAGAAGTTCGCAATGAACGAGGATGGGCAATTTGGAAACAACCACAGATCGAGGAAAAAGGGTAAGATACACTTCCGATTATGGCGAAAGAGTACCGCCAGAAAACACATTGATAGTTTGAAACGGAGTAAGGTACAGAGCGGGGTGTGAACACACGACAAACACACGACACAAATATCAGAAACGTACAGCCAAGCCTTGGAGGCGAAGGCATGTACAGTTTGTCCGGGAATTGGGTAGCTACACACTGAAGGCAATAGCTTTGATGCACGAGCGCCACTGACTGCGCGATTGGGCAATTTCTACTAATGTCGTTAACCACTGGTGATTTGAGTTCCGGGGTCCCTATCCGAGGAGGTGGCTGTTGTCCATCCGACTAAGTTTACTGATTAGTGTTTTCGTACTTCGCCGCCAGGCCATACACTGTCCACCTCTCGGTCGCTTCCACTGAGCACAGGGCTGGGAAAAAAGAGCTCTGTGAGGCAGACGGTCTTCTGGCGTGCGGAGTACATGTCACAACCAGCGCAACCTATGAAGCGTGGGTAATTTATCTATCGCGGGAGAGTTCCTTTTACCTAAGACCACTGGCGTACCTCGGCATTGCTAATCCCATGTTCCCACCAGACATGACAAATGCTTCGGAAACACCGATGATCAAACACTGACATCTTACGTATGTTCTGTGCGCGTAGGGGCCACGTCTCTGATCCATAAAACAGTATGGATCGCACCACCGCCGTGTAAACTCTTCCCTTGACACGTCACCTCGGCGCCATAGGTGTCGGAGTCAGGCAAAAGCTGCCCTGGACTTTCCGATTCGAGAAATAATCTCATTTTCGGCGAGTCCACCTGAATTCATACACCTGCCCAGGGAAATAAATTCATCTACTACGTCGATTGGCTCGCCCGCAAGAATTGTGGGCTTGATTCCAGTCTTGTAGCAGCACTTTACACTTTGCAGGTGTGCAGCGCATGTCAAACCATGCGGCAGAGTTATTTAGACTATTCAAAATCGTTTGCTTTTGGGAAGGATCTGAACCAAGGAGAACAATATTGTCTGTACACTCACTGTCTGTGAGGGAACGTCCCGGGAGCATTTTGACTTCCGAGGTTTCGTACGCAGGCAGAGAAATTTCAAACAGCACATCAATAACAAGGTTGAAGATGAAAGACGAAAGAGGACAGTCTTGTCTTACACCACTGGATGTGGTGACCTCAGGCGAGAGCTTCCCGCGTACTTGTACGCGCCCACAGGAGTTCGAATGCTGTGCCCTCATAAGGGACACAAATTTGGAAGGGACGCCAGATACTGACAAAGTTGCTGACGATCAACAGAATCAAAAGCAGCTTTCAAATCCAGAAAAACAACCAACGTGAGACGTTCGAAGGAACTGCTCAAGAATTTGTCTCAAGTTAAAGGTTTGTTCTATGCATCCTCAGCCAGGGAGGAACTCGGCTTGGTTTTCACGAATCTGCCTGTTCCAATAGTCTATCAACCCACACAAAATAATGCCACAGATCACCCTAGACGCGACGGATGTCAGGCTGATGCCACGATGGTTTTTGCATGACGTTCTTGTGCCCTTTTCGAAAACTGAGATGAGGGTCGAGGAGCTCTATTCGGCTGGTGCTGTTTTTCTTTTAAATCTTCCGCAGTATGGATACCAGACTACTTACCAAGACCTCGTTACCCTCCTTGAAGATTACGGGCTACTGACCATCCACGCCAGGTACCCTGTCGAGTTGGAGGATTACTATCTCACGCTGGATTCTTGTTGTTGATGACTGGCTAGTGTATGTGTCCCATTCAGACCCGCTGGGTTTTTCCAGCAGTTCTGTTGAAGGACACCAGCTAAGCCGTTCTTTGAAGTGCTCAGTCCATCACTCAAGACGACTACTGAAGGAGTGAACTGCCTTTCCGACTTTTCCGTATGGTTCCACTGACACCTTCCCTCTTTTGACCGGTTTGTAGAAGCAGCTGAAACAGGGCGCGGCTGCCGCCTGTAGCGAAAACCTTCTCCATCTCCTAGGCCTTTACAATCAACCAACGCCCTCTGTCATTTTTCAAGCTCCTGGTTAGCCGGTGTTTGAGAGTTCTGCGTGCACCATCACAGTCGCTAGTTGCTTGTATGGCCTTTCTAGCAGTAATAAGGTCTACTGATCTCAGCGATATCCAGTATTCATTTAGTCGAGACAGATGACTTGGACAAACAGTTCTGAAAGCTGAGGGCATAGCTTCTTTGACCAGTTTCCATTCAACCTCCAAGCGCTCTTCATCATCCGCATAACTAGCACGATACTCTTGTGCTACTGAAACTTGCCGAAGTTGAGTGGAATTCCTCTGCTTTGACATGCGTAGTGCTGACGGAAAGCGAAGTGGTAACCGGAGGCGCACAACGGCATGATCGGAGTCAAGTTGCGTACCCCAAAAGGAAGGACAGTCCTTAATTGAGGCTCTCCACCGGTAACCGGTAGTAATGCAACAAGTCCATATTCTTCTCTGCACAGTGTATGTCACAGAATGCGACTGAAAACTGGGAGAGAGCAGGAGTACTATTCAATGGATGTCGTCTTGTTGCCGTATGATCCAACAACCCAACCAAGGGGCGTGGAGTGGCGAGCCACATAGGACGGTGCTACATCCTCAGGAGCTAGCTACCTACCTCCAACAGGATCAAACCCACGCTGACAAACGGCGTAACAGTCAGCACAGCCCATCGGTTTTCAGCTGAGAATAACCATTTGATCAATCTCTCGAAGACGGGGCGCCGAACCAAGGACTGTTTTTACCGGATGCTATATTGATGGTTCCAGGATAACACGACCCCTCACTGAGTCGCATTCATAAAAAATGTTTTACATGAACCACCAGTGTGAAGACAATGGATTCTTTCGACAAATACACTTATTTGCAAATCAGCTCTCAAGTTGCGTGAGACTTAAGTGAATCTCTCGTTTATGATGTTCTTCAACTGAATGTGCCGCACACAGGCCGCCTCATGTTTCAGTGGGTACGATATTAACAAAGGAAGCTACTCGCGGAGGAAGCAACATAGAATCGATACCCTTCAAGTTGTTTTCATTGTGTATCGACCTACCAGCACGGGAGAAGAGGCGGTTGGATATGGTCGCAACTGCATCTACTATATTCTCAGAAGTCACAGACGCCACAGCCCTGGAAAAAGGACCAAAACAGCGACGATATTAGCACCTTTGCACTTGCGAATCGTCTTTGATTCAATTTATCTAAACGCCTAACGGAACTTGACCCAACATTACTTACATGGTTGCTGACAAATCTAACAGTACACTATCAATTTCACTTACTTGGGACTCGCTAGGTAGATGTGGTCTCTGAGTTTTCATGGAGCGGCCTATGTCCCGCGAAATTCATGTCCGGCTTAACGGAATGAAATCATCACATCTGCGATGAATACCTAACAGTTTCTATTACTTTAGAATTTACTAGCAGGAAGCTGTATCTGAATCTCTGACCTCTGCGGGCAGCTGAAAGCATCATCATCACCTTCAGAGAAAACAACATCAGTGTTAACACTGATGGTGTACTGTTGCACAACCATAAATTTCATTCAATTATATTTAACGCATTAGTGTGAAACAGACAGAAAATGAGTAGGAGAGAAGACTTGGTGATTTCCTATCGCCAGTATTCTGAGGTGTCTACACCTCCAAGCGCTCAAACAGACAACCTAGAAAGAAAATGACAGCGAGAACGCTACTGTCATCGATGAACCACCGTTTATTCCAATATCTCCAGGTGCATGCGCGGTTACGGTGACCCCATCCTGAAAGGCGTCCAAAACCAACAACAATCAAACTCCTCGTCGTTCAGCTGTAGCACCTTTCCGGTGCCTAGCTGCCATGCCACCCGAAGGTTGCATGAAGGCTGGGATACGGCCAGGTTACCCAAGTCTAGACAGGGGAAGTCGAGAGGCAGAGGTCGGGTTCGAACCACGGAACTTCCGGTCAGTAAATTCGCGCTCTAACCACTTGGACTATCTCGCCCCTCGCCTCTCTTAGTAATCTCATTCAT